TGTGTCCCATTTGCATGGGAGGTCGACATCAGGCTGTGGAGAAATGGGTTTGCAGCAGGTGTCCGTTTGCAGGGCCTGCTCACCCGCTGGCGCTTCAGCAGTTGGCCCACCCCCCAGTACATCTCATGCCGACCGCATTGGACATGTTGACGCGATAGGTGGGCCCTGCGCGGTGTCAGTGCCTGTTGCCTCGCTGCCTGCCACGCCGAGTCATGCGCCGTCAACTCCTCCTAATGAGGTGTCCCTGCCCCGGCGCCCCGCTGCCCGAAACAGAAGCTGCCCACGAACTAGTTGGTGGCGCGCCATCGGGTGACGCGGAACTAGCGCATGCTGATGTGCGTCATGGGCTGGAGGCGCCTGCCCGCAATTGGCTTCGTGCCGAGCCGCCGATCCCGCTGCCCCAAGCCACCAACTCCTGCGTGTGTATGCCGTTGGTGCTCCATGACCGCGCGCGCGACGCATGGCGGGCGCACCCGTCCTTTGCTCCATGGTGGCATGGGGCTGTCACTGCCCTCCTTGCACGCGCGGTTTGCGCGAACCGCACCCGGGAACGCCTCCAATTTTTTTAGCGTGGTGCTCCTTGCGCGCCGCGCAGGTGATACTATCCCCCTGGCCCTTTGCAGGAGGCGCTTTTTGCCCTTCTGCTGGGTGAGGCTGCAGCGCTTGCGTTGGCGCGGTTACTCGATGACATGAGGGTTCCTGTTGACATGCCTGCCCCTGCTCGTGCTGAAGGTGCAGCGGAGTCTGGCCCGCCCCCCCCCCCAGGGCCAGCTGAGCCCCCACCACTTACACCTGAAACCGAGGATGCATTGCCCTCGCAGCCCCCAACACCGGTGCCTGCCGCACCGCAGCAACTGTCCCTGTGCGGATCACACACCCTGCGTTCAACAACCAGCACAGAGCTTGACCCTCCCACGCAGGGGCCTGGCGCGGAGCAGGTAATTGCCAAAGCTGCGCAAAACGCGGCCGCTGCTAAGGGACGTGGCCGCAGAGGCGGGCGAGGGCGTGGCCGCGGACGGCACATGGCAGTCGCCGCGCCGCCGCCACTGCCGTTTGGGAGTGTTTGTGCCGACGTGCAGCCCGACCCCGCGAATAGGCCGACCGGGCCGCAGCGGCGCGCAGCAGCCGCTGAGGAGACTTTTCAGGCAGGCTTGGTTTCGCTTGAGGCCGTATCCCTCGAAGACGAAATCCGCAAACGCGTGCATACCCTGCAAAGCGTGCTTGCTAAACTGTACTGCGGGGCACCGTCCGTGCCGCTCTGCAAGCTGGACTCCAGTCCAGGGTTGGAAACTGTTCATGCGTGCTCAAGCCGAACTGGAGGGGAAGGCAGGCTTGTTGCAGGCGGGTTGCATAAATCCGGGCTAGGACCCGTGGGGCGCCTAAGGACATGTCCGACAACAAGGGCCCGCAAGCCACCCCCGGACCTGCGCAGCGCGACCATGCGGCCAACTCGGAGGAGGGCCAGCGGCGGGATATCGGCTTGGGCAAAGCGCTCGGCGACGACGTGGAGAAGCCGACCATCCTCCTCATCATCGAGAAGGATTCGGAGATGTTCACTGGTCGCCCCGGAGGGGCCTGCAGCTGCTCCCCGGCATTCCCCGGCGGGCGCCTCGAAGCGATGCCAACAATTGCGAGGCGGGGAGCGGGCATGCCTCAGCAGGTTGGAAAGCCGCAACTTCGAGCGCAAAGGGGGCATAAGGCTCGGGCGGTCGGCGTGCAGGATCGCGCGCTGGCACAGAGGCCCTTGCACGCGTGCTCAAGGTCGCGACCGAGCTAGATCCACGGGCCACAGTGTTTTCCGTTGACGCAGCTGGGGCCTATGATCATGTTTCCCGCGGGGCTATGCTGGAGGCGCTGCACGCCAGGCCTGAGCTGCAGCTGCCGTACGGCCGGCAGTTTTACGCCACACCCAGCTCCTACACGTGGGTCGATGCCAGTGGCACTTTCCACACCATCTCCCAAGGTGAGGGAGGGGAGCAGGGCGATCCCGTGATGCCTGGCTTGTACTCGCTCGCTGCCCACGCCGCACTCCAAGAGGTGCAGGCTGGCTTGCGAGACGGAGAGGCAGTGTTTGCTTTCCTCGACGACGTCTACGTCGTCGCGCTCCCCGACCGGGTCAGGGAATTGTATGCAGCGGTCGAGGCTGCGTAATGGAGGCATGCACGCGTGCAGCTAAATCGTGCCATTGCGTGCTAATTTGCAAAGCGCGCGCCGGGGGGCAGTAGCTGGCCCCTCTGGCGCCACGGCTGAATACTTGCGGGTCTTGCTTGACGATGAAGACTGTTGCGATCTTCTTGTCACTGCCGCGCAACGTCTGGCCCAGGCGGACGTGCCAGACGACGTTGCTGCCGGCTTATGTTTGGGGCGTATGGTGGCGCTGCTCAAACCAAGCGGGGGCATTTGCGACGTCTTCCGCCGCTTGGTGTCACGGACGTTGGCTCAGCAGTTCTCCACGCCTTTGCAGGAAGCATGCGCCCCTTACCAGTATGCCCTTTCCACACGGGCGGGGGCTGAGGCACTTGCGCGAGCACTCCGCGGGGCCACCGGCATGAGCACGTCCACACCAGTTGTCAGTGTGGATGGAATCGGGGCTTTGGACCACATTTCGCGCAAATGCATATTTGATGGCCATCCCCAGCGTTGGCACCCCTTATCCCGTCCGCCTTTTTCTACGGCGGCGATGTTTTTTATGACGCGTCGGGCGCTGCCCACTCTGTTCTGCAGGGGACGGCTCAGCGCGGGCGGTCGCGGACCATGTGCCGGGCAAAGCGGCAGCACACGCGGCACGCCGGAAACGGTACCCGGAGCTGTTGGCCGCCCGGAGGTGTCGCCTGGTGGTGCTGGCGGTTGAGGTGGGCGTAGGATTCGGTGCCGAAATGGCGGATTTTTCTCCGCCGCTTGGCCGCCTCCAAAGCGCAGGCGGCGCCGCCATGGCTTCGCGCTGCAGCCCGCCAGGCGGCGGGCCACCGCTGGGACAGGCATGTTGGCTGTTGCCCCGCAGCGGGCACTCGCCCTGTCACTCCTTGAGCTGCCGTTGGACAGGCAGACGAGTGTGATGTGGCGGAGCCGCCGCTGGCAGACCTGCTGGCGGAGGCGCGCCATGTGTATCCTGTGGCCAAAAGCCGCATGCCGGTGCGCGCCTGAGAGACGGCGCCCGCAGCTTGTCGGTAGCTGCTTCAGCCGACCACGGACAAACAGCTGCGAGGAAAAGTCCGAGGAGGGAAAAAAAAACTCGTATTTGGAACGCAGCCGGCACATCGGCGATCTTCAGCCAGTCGGTGGCGACCTTGTTTGGGTTGGCGTCTGGGCACTGCCCCGTAACCAGCAAGGCCGGCCTCAAAGTCTTGGGCACGCCGCTGGGGTCGGAAGCGTTTGTACGGAACCAGCTCGCGCTGAAACGGGAGGCCCGTGATGGCTTGTTGCATGCCATCCCCGCAGTTGAGGACCTTCAAGCGGCATGACTGTTGCTGCGCTACTGCGCTGCGCCGCGGACCAATTACCTCCTCCGTGTCTTGTCCCCAGCAGCGACGGCCGATTACGCCGCCGAGCACGACGCCGCGCTTGCGGCGTGCATCGCTGGACTTCTCGGCCATGCGGCCGGAGGGCGCGCTGCAGACAGCACAGCTTGCTGCACGCTTTGGCGGCCCTTGCGTTCCGCACTCTCAAACCGCCGCGCAGCACACTGGGCATCCTGGTGCGACGCACTTCCTGTCCTGCGGGCTAGGGCACCAGAGGCTGCTGCACGCATGCTGCATGCACTGCAGGGACTGCTTGCTGACAGCCTGCCGTCAGCTGCGGCTGCCCAGCACGCGGCAGCGGCAGTTTACCTCCGCGCAAAGGGCTACATTACACAGTGCCTGACTGGCAGGAAGCCATGCGGCCTCTTGCTGATGCCCCCAGCCGCGGGGAACCATGTGACCACCACCTGTGACGAGCGCGCGTTTGAGACGTTTTTTTCGAGCCTTTCACCTTTCTCGAGCGCTGCTGCTGTCACGGCTGGGCCGCTTTCCTCGCGTGCCCTCGCGGTTCTTCCCACACACGAGGATGTCACATTCCCCAGTGCGCACTTCCGTGTTCTCCTCCTTCGCCGGTTGCGCCTGCTTGGCGATCACCGAGCGGCGTGCGCCACCGCCGGCGTCCTTGCCTCGCGCGCCATCCCTCTTGAGCGAGCACTCGCCAGGTTATGCCGCGAGGCTGGCGCACGTGTGGCCAGGAATGTGCGTCTGGCTGATATGAACTTGGATGTGCTCGTGCAGCACGCCCGCCGCTTCGGCGTGCGGTCCACCCTCTGCCGAGAAGCTGGATCACTGGGGTCGGGACGCCGTGGGCGGCCAAAAAGGAGGCACCTGCCACCCTAGCGGCGTGGCCGCCAAAGAGCTGCCGCTGTCTGCCGTTGGGGTCCACATACGTCAACTCGACCTCCCGCCATCGTTGTTGCCCAGGCCACCCGCCGCAAAAGACGACAAACCTACCCCGAGCTCGAGCAGGCACGCCGCTGCCGCCTGGTTGTGTTCGGGCTCGAAGTAGGCGGCAGGTTGCCCCCCGACGCAGCAACCTTCATCCGCCCGCGCGCCTGCATGTGGCTGGTTTGGCCTGCACAGGGACCAAGACTGGGGACCCCATGCGGAAACAGGTGTGCCGGAACAAAAAACATCACGCAATCAAAAAACAGTGAAAAGTGTGGTGTGATACCCTGAAACCAGCGTGAGTATTTTTTGCTCATGAAGGATGACCAGCCCAGAGACGTGTGGAATCCCCATAACGCTTGTTTGGAAGCATGTGCGTGACAATGACAATCATCATGTCCGGCAAGCCTTTGCTGTTCTACAGGGTTAAGGTTTCATTCGTGCCATGACGTTCTGCAACGTTGACTTGGGAACCGAGCAGCAAATCAGCTTCCTAGTCAAGAAATGGCTCCGCCGTTCTCGTCCTATGAATTTGGCTGCCGTGCTCGAGAAATTGAATGCTGAGCTCGGAGGGGTCTTGTACCGTGAGCAAGTACTCCATATTTTACACACTTCCTCCAAGCATGGCATCCCTCGATTTGCCGTGGATGGGGGGATGGTGGACCTAATGCAGACAACAGGCCGGCCACTTCATGGCCATTTTACGTCCGATGGACAGAAACAAATCAGTGTAGCTACAAAAAAGATGCTCGTGCGTTCCGGCAAGCCGATGAGCTTGCAAGAGGTCATCTCGGTATTACAGGGAAGCCTGAAGTGTATCATCGGCCGTGAAGAAGTGCTTCAAGCCTTACAAACTTCAGCCAAGCAAGGAGTTCCTCGCTTCCAGATAGCTGGTGATGTGGTCACCTTGGTGCAACAATTGAAACGTTCGTTCTCGCATCAGCGGGAAGCGTCCAAAGAACTGTCAAGGTTCCTGCGCCAGGATGACTTCAATATGCGCCCTTGGCACCAGGTCATGGGCCTCCAGCAGTTCGAAGGAAATGGAGCTTTGGTTATCGTTATGATTGCGAGTTGGGTGAATGTAAGAATGAAAAACCAACAGCTTCCTGCTCCCCACTCAGCAACATGACCGCAATTTCGGATTCCAGTTTAAATTTGGTGATAGCTTAGGAGAGTTGCTGAACAGCATTGTGGCGACAGAATGCCATGGCGATGGCCGTCGACGGTTTGAGGTGCTTGCGGAAGATTTGGGTGACAGGATGCCGCTGCGAAATCGTTTTCACGTCTTGAAGTGCGCCGTATGTGTCAATGAGTGAAATTTGTTGTGCCTTGCAATAATCAACAATCCATGAATGATGTTTGATTGGCATGCGCAGCCGCGCATTGAATGATGCAGTTTGAAGCAACAATCAATAGTGCATGGTCAGGTGCGCCGGGCACATTCCAGAGATTGGGTCTTCGCCACCGAATCGGTCAAACGATACGTGCAGCAGGTTGAGTCGCTACGTGAATTGTGTCTTCAAGCTGGGGCTGTAAGTTGTAGACGTTTGGGACAGGAAAAGTTGAAGAAACGCCTCGTCGCGGCCATCCATCATCTTGATGCGCAGGTTGGAGGTCGGGTGCTGTGTTAAGAGTTTGTGACCATTCGCAGTCTTGGATGTTTTTGGAGACAACTGCAGAGCAGTCGGTGCAAGGATTCGGGTTTGCCTCCATGCTTGAGACAACTCTTCATCAATAAGCGGTCGATGCTAAGTTTCATGCTGGTATGTTAACCTGGCCTGGCAAAAGTTTAGGCTTTAAGATCTCCAGATTCAGTGCAACAAAATCTTGACATGCGAGTTGCATGCCAAGTTGAAGCCGGAGTTCATAATCCTTGCTCTAGATGAAACGGGGCAGTCCTCCCGTGTTATAAGCTAAGGAACAACGGATGGAAATGGATTGTACAGGCCCTTTGAGTCGCTTTCCGCTTCACGCCAAGTGCAACCAGGTAATTGGCCCCCGAAACCAAGAAACTTGGTAAAGTCGAGAACGAGAGAGGGAGAGAGAGAGAATCAGAAGAATAAGATTGAAAGTAATTGAATTGAGCAATTATTGATTCCAGGATTTTGGTTGTAACCTTAGGGTTTTCATGGAAGAGACATCCTTTCAAGTGAGGGTAGCTCAGGAAAAATGATTGATTTTGCAATTCCCGCTGAATTGTAGACAGCAAATCAGCTTCCGAATCTTTTTTCCTTGTTTCATTCTCACGGCAGCCATGTCCCTGAGCCTCTTTGAATGTTGAACCTTGTAACAAGCTCCTCACTTAAAGAAGCCTATCTGATCTGCCATTTTTGGGCTGGATTTTTTTTTTTGGTTTGATTCTTGGGTTTGTGGGTTATGAGGTGGCCTCTGCCTTCCAAAGTGCGCTTGGACCCCAACCGGGGAGATGTTTATCATTCTGGGGTCTTATTCCTGAGGAATTCGGAATACTGAGAGTCAGCGGGCCTGAACCTTGCTGTGCCCACGTGAGCTTCCCGCCATGTCCCCAAAAACAGTACTGCCCGCCCAGAGGGTTTAATCAGTGTTGAAGGCATTCTCGTTAAACGATCCTGTCTAGGAAGGGAAAAGAAGCACCTGGACGAGTCACGTGCTGCTCATTTCAACTTGGCAAGGGCTATGCTTCAAATGGCTGAAATGCTCCATACTTGAAAGACTTTTGAGCGCTGTGGCTATGATGGCTTGAAGCACAATTGCATCTGCAGGATTTTGTTGGGCCCATGATGCTTGCAGCATTCGCAGTGTGTGTTAAATCATGGGTGCCACGCGCATAGGTTTAACGCTTACATATGCGCCTCCAGAGGGGCGGGCCGGCGCAACCCACAAACTAAAGACCTTCTTTGTTTAGAAACCTATCACTTCAATGGCCATTCTTGCATTCTGCAACACATAGTGAAGGCAGCACTTTACGTGGAGGCTGCATGAAAAATGATGGACACATTGCACTGTTTTTTTTCTCTGTGTTCTGTTGCATGGGAGTACCTCTTTCAACACAAGCCCAACCGCAGGCGGCTGTAGCCAACAGGGTTTTTTTGTTGGAAATAGCTTGCGCAGCCCTGACGCATTGTTACCATGACCCTCAGCAAGAATTCGCCAACACATCCAGCAGTAGATCTTGAGGGCTTCAGCTGGGATTCCTGAAGTCTTCTGTTGTGGAACGCACAAGCGTCTTAGGATATGGAGCTCGTCTCCATGCTTGGGCAAGCGATGCGCGAATGGATTTGCGGACCAGGTTGGCTTCCCTGCTTTGATCATACGATGAAGGTGGATGAGGTGCCTCATTGTAATCTGCTTGCGCTGACATGTGGAAGGTGGCCTACGTGGCCAAACATGAGAATCAGCCCCCCCCGATCCGGGGTTACGTGTTTATCCCCAAGAAGATTCAAGTGTCACACAGGATTTGCCTCCCAGATTCAAGCCAATGTCCATGTTCGTCCAACCCAAGTCCGAAGATGACAACCGTCTCTCGTGACCAGTCCTCAGAAATCATCAGGCTGTAAGGTAGAGTCCGGCCCACACGCAGTCCATAGTCGACAGCCCAATATCTTTGGTGCTGCCCTGACCACTGTGCACGAGGTGCCTGGAATCATGACACGCGTGCACTTGTTCGAGGGCCACGGCATCCAAGTGAGACTGCACTTGTTTACGGATCCGGGAGAGACCTACATACATAATCACAGGTCAAACTTTTTCAGCTTCTGTCTTCGTGGGAAATATCGACACAGGATATGGGGGACGGGTGCTGGTTTCGGTGAGCATTTGGATGGTGAGCATGTCGTCATCAACCGCACACAAGATCCGGGCTTCAACAAACCCTTCACGAGACCAGGGCAGTTGTCCTGTATCTTTACGCACGAGCACCTGACATCTGCCTGCTACTTCCTGCCCGCCGAGACTCCACACACCGTCCAACCGCAGAAGGAGGGAACTCAAGTGGCACCCGTCTTGACTATCTACATCAAGGACACAGTGGGAAGCACAGACACATTCGTGAGAGTGGCTGCAGTCACAGACCTTCCTGACCAGCACCAGCAAACTGAAGACCGACCCCTTGATGGACTGGAGATGCTCGAAAGGCTGCAGAGGATTCATGAGTTAACATGCCTGGCTCCAGCACATGGCATTTAGTCACCTAGTTTTTTGAATTCCAGAAAAGTGTCACCATCCATGGGTGTGCCCCACGTAAATTGCTGCACAGAAGCCTTTCCCAAACAACCTGGCTGGTCTTTCGGTGTGTTTGTGTGTTTGTCATGTGGTGCCTCGCTGTTGTACAGCAGCAGATGCTTGCCAGCGAACGTGTTCAGATGCAAATCACAGACTGTGCAATTGTCACACAGTCATGCTGTGGGCGAGACTCGTATGTACAGTTTGCAGCCAGCATCCGCCGACAGAACTGCGACCGTTGTTTGGTTTCTGCAAGGTTTTCAGTGGGAAGGTGTGCAGCGTCCAAGCTGGAGATGATGCCGGAAACATCACAAACGTAATTGGGTTTGGGCCCGTTTGTTGCAAGCTTTTTGTTTTTGATTCAGGGAGGGCTTACGAAATGGCAGTTTCTTCATTGCGTCTGGTGCATGACGCGCGTCTATGGCGAATCAGGAAAATATGTTGCTGCTTGCCGGATGGCACGAGTGCGAAGGTTTATCAACAGATGCATGGACTTATGCGTTCTTAAATTGTTGTTGCAACATTGTGGCAGCTCTGCCCGTCACTCTGTGATTAATCATCATTAGGCCCGAATTCCTTGCCTCCGCACACGCCAGTTCTAAAAGGAGCATTGGCTAGAATCCGATTTAGTAGAAAGTGACATACAATCAACAAGCGCGTAGCTCGCTGCTTCGGCCGTATGGCCCGAGCCTTGCGTCCAAGACGGAAGGTTCAACAGCTCCCTGGCAGAGTCTGTGCTCCAATCAGTGTCGACATTCCGGACGTGCGCTGCATTTCCCTGTGCAGTCAAGCTAGCTACGATATCAGGGCTTACATCGGCAATCTCTAGCGTGACAGCTAATCAGCAAGCAGTAGATGTATTGTGGGTTCACCCAGCTGCTTCACACGATGTAGTGGCAAGAGGTATGAAAAGTGTTTTTGCTGCCTGACATTCTGTTTCTCTGTTATCAGAGGTAGGTACACCCAAGAGCTGATGCAGTCAATGTAAAAGGTTCCCATCTTGTAGCTGCACGCTAGTATGACTTGCACCATGTTTAAGAAAAGGCCTTGCATGTTGTGCCAGACATTTCTGGAAGCGACGCCCTAGCACTACCATCCGCAGAGCTGATGTTCTTGAAATGGGTGTGCGAATACTACGACGTCAAGTCCTTTGTCGAACAGATGTCAACTGATGTTTCCGCTGGTTTTTCGGATGTTTTCAGAGGCGTAGAACTGCAGTTGACTGTGTAGACGCTTCTAAAGCGCAACCATTCGGCTCGCACTTGAGGTGGGTCATCAGTGGCTTATCGGAGAAGACGGAGGTGCAGGTGCACTTGGTTAAAGGGCTTCAAGCGTGTGGCCGCTGTGTCACTGTCTACAAGGACTCAGTGCACAAACAGGCCAGCCATTGAGAAGATAGACAGTCATCCGGACGAGTACCAGAAGAAACTCCGAAAAAAGCGCCAGCACCATAGCAAAGAGACATACAGGTAATAAGCCGAAATGTGAATGTGAAGAATCAGAGTCATATTATTAAGCCCAAGGTAGCAATTTTCAGGGCCAAGCCATTTTTCGTTCGGTTCACTTTTTATATGTAACATTTTAATCCTATCTGATGTACTTCCAGATAGGCATCTGGAACGCAAGAGGAACATCGTGCCCACAAGAGGGTAGACTCGCGCTATTCCATGAATCAGGGGTGCCTTGCAACCTGCTTGATAAGTTGTTCTTGGCTGGATAGGTATTTGAGCAACCCATTGAATGACCCAGAACGTTGCATGTCGCACCCTGGGACTTCTAGATGTCTATCATGGCGAAGTGAGGGTGGGAGCAGCGAGGACGTGGTGGAGCTTCAGGAAATAAGGTGATCCAGTCAGGACAGTAAGAATTCATCCAGCCTTCTCCTGGAAGAAGCAGTGAAGATTATCTGTGAGTTATGGTGGGCTGAGGCAGCTTGTGATAGCACTGGAATTTTCGAGACTTTGCAGGGCAACTGGCAGCGGGACGCCCAACCTGGTGGCGAGGCAGAAGGGAGCGAGTTTTCTCCGGGCCTAGTTACGGTCAATGGTTACAGTTTATTGAGAAGTTCAGGAACCAGCAACATGGTGAACCTTCAACCGGGCCTGAAAAGTGTTAGTTGCGCATTTTCGATTCGGTGTGCAATGTTGCATGAGTTGCGATACTGGCAAGGGTGTCTGGGAGCCCGAGGTAGCAATGAGTACTTATGGAGCTCCCTATGCAGTTGTGCAGATGAAGCCTTGTCGAATCTTCACTGTTTACAACGTGTTTGCTGTAAGTTCCTTACGAAGCGGGAGTCGCGCGAGCTGCGGCGGTTGCAGAGCAAGGCGTGTGGGGTGAAGGTTTGCACTGATGCATGGCAGCTAGGGCAGCTGGTGCCTGCATTAGCGGCTAGAGCAAGCCAGAGCAGGTGGTAGCTGCATCAAAAGTGATGGCTTCACGGTTGCATATTTAGTAGTCAAGCCCATAGCAGCAGCAGGAGCACCTTCGGTGTTATTCTGTACTAGCATGGGATAAGGAGGTGGGCTCGGGGCAGCCTTGACCACAGGATGCAGATGCAATCGGCATATCAGATTGCGACGGAAACATACGGAAACGGCACAGGCAAAAATGCTATGACAGTGGGTTGCGGCAAACGGGTGCTACAATCCCGGTCCTTATAGACCCTGTTAATTGCTGTGTTGCACGTCGTCTTGTCGCTCTTGTCAGCCTTCTCAAAGAATCAACCCAAGGCCATTAATTTCCCCTAAGCTTGTTGTTCTTCTCTGCCAAGCTGGACCGCCAGGCATCATTGTTTTTGCTGATTCAACTGGCGTCCAAGGTTCCATAGATCTCTGCAAAGGATTGAGTATTCGTGGTGTTCGACAGTGTTGCACCGGCAGGAAGATTGCACAGGTTGAACAAGGCTTAAAACCCACCTTCGTTTGTGCAAGGCCCGAAGTGAAGGCCGCAACCCTGCCTTGGTGCCTGCAGTTGCAAAAGTGGTGTGTGCTAGTTCATCCAGGAGGAAATCCTGGGTCAAATGACTACCCAAGAAGGGCTTTGTGAATTTCGCTTGATGCAAAGAGGGTGCGTGCTTTGTGATTACATGCCCGGGGACGTTTCGATAGCTGTTTTCAAGTTCCTCCCAGTATCTTCTTTGCAGAAGAGATTGCAAAGCGCACTTGGGTTGCCTTCCCCGGGATCGCATGACAGTGTTACATCACTTGCAACAAAATGTGTTCTTGCGGAAGTTGAGATGGCTATGATGATCTCAGGTAGTGCTGCCGCCGAAGCAGCTGCCGAAGCCGAGACTGTCGCGTCCAGCGGATGTGGCCTTGCTGGAGCGGGGTGCCTTCCTAAGGCGAGCCTGTATGGGGGTTTCAATAAACAGGGATCCCCACATGGACCCCAAATGCTGTTCCAACTTAGGGTCTTCCAGCAAGGGACCTCCAATTTTTGCAAATCCCCCATCTGCCCACATGTTTGCGTCAGCAGAAAGATCACGCACAGGGCCCAGAACCAATACCTCGGGTGCTGCCTCGTGTGTTCCTCAATGCCTTACATTTGTGATTCTGTGGCCTAGACATGCATGATTGAATGCTTTGGGGGGCAAACGGAGGAAATTTTGCTAAAGTCCAGCCAAGAAGTGACTTCATGATTTCGAGCTTATTTGAACATGCAGCCAAAGGCCAGAGGCTTCAGCACCGAAATGGCTTTGGATCCTGTCAGATCCTGTGAGAACACTGGTGACTCAGCAGGACTCTCGGCTTCCAGTCGCTCCGTTGCTGCCGCCTCCTGGCGCAGATGGCGCTACCGTAAGCCGTGCAGCTGCGGCGGCCTCGGAGGATGGCGAAGGCTGTGGAGTGGTATGCCCAGATCAAAGTTGATCTTGTGAAGGTTGGGTGCAAGTTCCACTGGTTCAGGTTCTCAGCCAAGTAGTGCAAGTCTTGGCACGCCCCACCCCTCCGTGCAACTAGCTTTGCTAGCTGCTCTGAACATTTGACCCCGGCCTGAGAAGATTTGAAAGGCACCTTTTTGTTGCCAGGCTTGGCGCTGTTCCCGACTCTGTGCAGCCGTGCGAGGGAGGTGGCACCAGGGGCGCGAGAGGGCTTAACTTGGAACACCTAAAGGATGGCTCAACTGACAGTGCTAGGTGAAAATGGATCCTACGCATGACGCGCAATTCGCAAAGCATGCTTTTGCCAGTTGCTGGCAAGCTTTGACCCGACGGACCTGGCACGTCTAGCCAGGGCAATGGCAAAGGCGCTATCTAGCCGCAGTTAGAGAAGGGTAGGGGGGCAGAAGTTACTGTAGCATAAAACTCACTTTCAGCTTCGGTCTTACTGAAGCTTCCATTGTATGACTTGCAGCCTGTGGGTGCCATTGTTGCCGTCACATGTACAATGCTAGTTCTGGGCGCTCTAGAATCCATGCTGCAAAACCATGTGAGCTTGTCAAGGCGGAGAAGCCAGATTAGGTACACCCGCTTTGCAGAACACCCGAAGACGGGTGTAGCTGGTGCATAAGGCGGTTGGAGTGACATCGCCAGACCAAGGAGATACCATGACGCTGAATTGTCCATGCTTTTGCTGCGGACTCTTGCTTTTTCTTGAGAAGCCTTTTGGGGTGGTTTCGAAACCCTTCACCACAGGGCTTTGCTGAACTGCACAAGCATCTTCTTGCTGCCATGTGTGGAATTGCACGTCTCTGAGCTGAGGCAGGGAACAAGCCGGCTGGCATACTTCGACGTGCTCCAGCTTTAGAGTTTGTGCCGTTCTTGCCATCTCCATCATTTTTTAGATTTTGCTTCCTCCTTATGTAAGCAACACGAGACATGCCTGGCTTGTGTGCCTTCACATGCTGTTTGTAAGTTTGTAAGTTACATGCCGGGAGCAGTGCTCGCACTGCAGTCATGAGCACTTTATGTTGGGCAGTAGAGTGGCTGTCGAGTCCCTTGGTTAAGAGAGATGAACGCCGCTTTTCCGCTCTTCTCGTTGGATTGTGGTTTTTCTTTTTGAGTCGCATTGAAGCCCTTAGAAGTCTTCTGGGCTGAGACAGGCAGATGGCCTGGTCCAGTTCTTGACGGCGCTTACCACGGCACTGCCAGCCAGAGAGTTGGCACATGCTGTGGAGGACCGTATATCGCGGGCTTCAGCCGGACTTTAAGGAAGGATTGAGAGAGCCCATCTTGCAACCGCTGCCACTGCTTATTGTAGTGATGCTCCGTTAGCATGGCTGTCTACGCTGTAAGCTTTGGGAGCAGGGTGTTCTTGAGTATGAGGCCCCCCGATGCCGAAAAATACGCTTCGTAAGCGGATTGCTACATCCTTTTTAAAGTCTGATGTGGGAATTCTTGCGCATGCCCAATCGTCCATGCCATGGTAGATTGATGTGTCCTAAGCCCGGCCCGTATTCCAGCATGTCCGCGCTTGGTTTACTGGCACTGGTGGCCCATGGCTGCTTTTCCCTGGTGATGGCTTTGGACTGGACACCTTTAATGACTTCCGCGAGCGCTGACGATGAGTGCATGGCTTCTGAGGACTGTGCCTCGCACCTCTTGCAGGCACCTTCTCATCCCGAGAGCATTGTAAGGTGGACCCTGTGACAGCCGGCAACAACTTCTCGTGTCAGAGGGCTATGGCTGCCATAGACAGTCACGAAATATCACAAATCTAGATCCGCTAAAACATCCACTGCCCCGCAGCCACCAAAGCACCCGCTGACAAGGGGCAGCATTTGAGAGAAACTTCCCAGCACGGCGTCAGCACTAGCACCCGAAGCTAGTGGCTTACCACCACTTGTTCAAACGGGTGCTGCAGCAGCGGCAGCAGCATCAGCATTGCCGCCACCACAAGACCACTGACTTCCTGCACTCGCATTTTTAGGACTCATTGTTTTCATTGTAGCAAGCTCAGTTTCAGACTGACCATTATGATGATGTTGGTGCTGATGCACATGATGTTGATGACTGTGTTTGCGCTGTCTGTCGTGGTGGCGCTCCTAGTAGCACCAGTGGCGGTGGCTTTGGTGGCTGGCAGCAGCCGCAATGGTGAAGGTGGCGAAATGCTGGTGATGGTGGATTGGTGGTGGTAGCCGCCTCGCTTCCTTTCAGGTGTTCACTTTTCGTGCCCTCGTAATGATTCTGATCGGGGGTGTTCTGCTTGCCTGGACTTTCTTATCTCGATCTTGCATATCTTATATTGATGATGATTTTTTGTGGACATGGCAACATGAGTTTTTTCCACCATGCAGAACACAGGGCCTGAGCGGAGGGCCACCCTGTGGCCAGGCTCCGCCTGTGTTCTTTCAGAAGGTCAGCACGCGATGCTCGTGGTAGTAGTAGAGGTGTATGCTTTTCAGTGCGCATGATGCGAACAGGATTTGGAAGTTAGTGTATCTTGTCAGAAGCTGTGCAAAGTAAGAAGGGTAGCTCCAAAGGCTGTCCCAACCAACCATGGTCACATGACTACTTTCGTCGCCCTCGAGGCCAAGGCTGTGACCACCTGGAGCATTGGTCCATGCAGCGAACGCCAAGATCCCTCCAGTGGGCAGTGCCTAGCAAGCCGCCAGGACCTATTTAAAACCCTATGTGCTTCCTAGCTTAGTGGTTTCCTGAGAGGGCAAGCGATCATTCGACTCGGAGAGCAGCAAATGTATCGGCAGGAGCTAAAGAGCCGGTGGGATATCACTCTGGATGAGCACAACTGCAGGCCCAAGTACAAGAGCAACTACTGGCTCCTCGATGCATCGTGCAATCCAGAAAGATGTGATTTGACCATCCGACAGCAGCAATGCGTCTTCAGCAAATGTTGCGTGTGCGGAACTTTTGTTGCATCTGTTACGCATAGTTCCCTGTAAGCTCGCGCTTGGCTACGACGAAGGTTTTATGTGTGCAATTGGCATGGCCAGACCTGGGGCTGCGATCGAGAATGGATCTCCTGCAACAAGTACTGACAAGCTGCTTTTCAGCATCCTCTTTTGCGTGATCGCTGACCGTTTCAATTGTCGGCGAGCCGTTCCATTCGTGAGACCTTTGGACCTGCCGGCCACATGGAAAAAAGCAATCTGAACAGCACCGTCAGGTTGTCCGCTATTGTCGTATTTTTTTCCTCATATGGCCGCTGCTTTGATTTTTTTTCATGCTGATTGGTATTGCAGCATATTGTTGTTACAACTGTTGTAACTGCTCTGGCAGGAGCTGAAGCTCCGGGTCCCCGAGCTGCGCGGGCGCCGGGCACTGGCTAATGCCGCGGCACTGGCCGCGAGGCTCTCGCGAGGAGGCGGACACGCACACTCATTTTGTTTTGAGGAGCAGTCATGGTACAGATTTGGGGCTGGCAGAAGGCAGATTTCATAAGTTTGCGGCACCAACATGGGCCCCAATGCACTGCACTTAGTAACTAACAGTTGGGGATAGCTCTGGGCAACGCCATGCAGCACTTGACATCCTGGATGAGCAGATATCTCGACATGATGGGGACGGCTGCCTGAGGTTGATCCAAGATATCCCTTTCGGCCATCCATCCTACCCATACACATTTTGGTATGCTCTGTGTTAAGCATGAATCTGGCACAAGAGCATAGCTGTACTTGCATCTTCGTGGGCAGCATTTTGCTTTTGGCCTTCAGAACGTGCCAACATTTGGTTCGGGGCTCGGCTCAAGGCATGCTAGCCTGAGATCTGCGTACTTACCCACTTGGGGACTGCACGCTCAACCACCCAACGTACTAGCTGAAGCTCTTCATCTTTTTCTGGCAACCAGAGGAATCACGGTCAAGTCAAGTGTGCAGCAGCGTAAGACACTCCAGGCAGGTTTGTAAGATTCATTTGAGTAAAAGTCTTTGGTCAACTTGCGCTGACTGCAATTTTGGTGCCATGTAGAAGAGTCCCGCACTGGCACTGACATATCCATGTTTCATGCTGCACTGCAACTCTTGCATGTATACTCTCCTCAGCAAAGCTCCGGCCCAAGACTCGGGGTTCCACATGCGCCGATGGCTTCTGCCTCGTCACCGAGCATTGTGGACGCCAGGGAGCGGATACAGGCCAACGTGACAGATGTTGGCTGACTTCGGTGTGGTTTTAAGACGCGTACTGAGCAGTAGCCACATCCTTGAAAGGCATGACACTTAGTGATGCCTGCTCCTGTGTCAAACCTTTCTTGGAAATCTTCTCGGGATTTTCCTCGCATGCTGTTGTAGGTAATCGCTCGTGAGATTGAGAGGCCAAGGGGGGACGATCCACACCGTCGGCTTACTCTGCAACTCCGCGAGGGCGCGGAGGAGGGGCTCTAGATTGAGTTTGTATTGTAGGCTCAGAAGTGTGCATGTCTGTCTCATGCTGAAAAAGCAGATTCATGCTTGGTGCCCTTCCTTCAACCACACCTCTCCTGGTCTCCGCCACGGCAAGTATGGACCGTGACCTAAAAGGCTACCCCGCACTTAGCCGACTTGGCCTTAGCACCGCATTTAAATCCTTCTAACTCCTCAGCTCTGCTCAGCTTTGGCCGAGGCGAAGGTCCGCCGTGGCCACCCGTGGCTTCCTTCCAAAGCCATCCGGAATGCAGAGGACAGTCACGGACAGTTTGGAGCAATCGATTGAATGGATCCTTTTCACAGTCCCAAGATTCTTCTGTTTTCGTTAAAATGGGAAACCAGAACGCAGGCTCTGCAGAGTGGCTCGTGTGTTTGGCATGTAAGTTCCAGAAAGTTCACTGTGTGGGCGTGTTCATAAAGATGACTTCAGAGAGGGTTTCTATTTTGATCGCAGGATTTCGGCCAAAGGCTGTGCGCTAAGCCTGAGACCTGTTGTGATTTGTAAGCATGGCATTTGCAGGCCTTGCAGGCATCTACACCTTGCCTGGTGAATGTCGAGGCACCGTTCCTTGGTACTGAGCGAATATCTCCACGCGACAACAGAGTGTGATCAGAAGACCCCAAGTGGACCTGCATGCTCTATTGGTATGCCGCAGAATGTATGCAAAGCGCGGCCCCAGAGCAGCGGAACATGTCAGCAGCAACATACGCGGGATAGGAATTAGGCGTTCTTGTACAGAGGAGACCTAAAGCCCGAGATTAAGGCGTGTACAAGCATTGCAGGCAGTGGAAGGCGACGTGTTGGGAGTTGCGCTCTACAGCGGGTGCCTTGCCTTGTATTCAGAGACTTTTACAGCTACAAGCTGTTGGGGTAAGGGATGGCATGCTGGATGTGTGCTATGATTGTGCATGCCTACGACATCACTACAATGTTGTCACATGTTGTCATCAGTTTTGCCCATCTCTTCGAAGTTGAAATCCGACAGTTACTGAGCCCAGAATCGACTGAAACCCTCCCTTGAAGAGCACAGCCGCAGTTCCCAGACGCTTCTGGAAGAGCACGTGGCCCTTAGCTAGAGTTTGATTAGATCTAGTTCCCGACACCAGTCTGACTAGCTCCATTGTTGTGCGAACTGAAACCCAAGCATTAATTTGTTTGTGGCATTGAAGGCAAGGGTCCATCGCAGCACGCATGCTGTCCACCACTGCTTTCGTGACCTGGCAATTCATCGGCCGGTCCTAGATGGGGCTTCCGACAACTAGGGCTCCTTGCTTGAGAGTTAACAACGAGTAAAGCAAGATGGGGTCGGTATTTGGGGCCTCTTCTCTATGGAAACCCACAGATATATTTATTTGTCAGGTTGGGGGTTGTATTGTTTGGGGTTCGAAGCTCTGCGCCCAGGCCCTGTGTTCCCGGTTCTGACATGAATAAGTTGAGGCAGACGCAGATGATAGCGTATGTGGTAGACTGGTGACCCTTTTTACACATCTTGAAAGGGCGCGGTGCACCAGGTTCGCATTGATGCTGCCTTCTTCGTGGAGCGCTTGCAGAAATGCCTCGCATACCGCGAGAGGCTTGTCAAAACATCTGCAAAATGATCTACAAGATACTCTGTGAGGAAAGAATGTGCAAGGTGTCAGAAATTCAGAAATCCCTGGCAAGCGTACCCTGAACTGGCAAGGCTTTTTGCGGAGCCGTACTACCGTCTGGCGCATGGGGAGGCACTTGCATCATCCAAGCTCGAACCAGCAGCACGGGGGCCAGCTTGAAGCTTTGCCTTTGCCTTCCTCAGGTATTGAACATCCACAGAGACATGACTTGGTGACCGCAGCTCAGCTGCCTGCACTTGAGGCGGATGGCTTGCCGGGCATGATCATTGATCGCTTCTTGGCATCTATCAGACTGTGCCGAACATGCTGCAGGATGTGCTCCACAAGATTTCCAGCAAATCTCGGAGTACAAAGCTCAATCTACTACCGCATGCCCAGCTCATGTAGATGTTCGCGTGCAGGCTATTCTGATCATTTGGTGGTTGCACCAGCTGCTGGCATGGATTTGCTGCTGCTACCTGATCGGCAAGACCTGTTGTCTTTTTGCGGAACTCGGGCATGTGAGCTTGCTCACGAAGATCTCATTTTTGTAGTTGGATGCAGAAGAAGCAGAGTAGAGGACGTGGAAGATCGTGGAAGGATAGGGCTCAAAACGGGTATGGCTGCAGCGTGCTGTTTTAACCAGGGCTGGGTCCAGTGTCCAGGCTACTTCGGTGGAGAAGATGGAGTAGACAGATGGCAGTAGACAAAGCGTGAAACATTGATTTCGGCAATTTTTTTTTTGGATAATTCTTTTTGTTTTACGGGGCCCTGGGCATTCTGTAGGCCAAACTGTGAAGACGCTCCGCGCAAGAGCTTATTTTTGAGCCATCGATTGAGGACGCTCTGCGCTGGAGCTTAATTTGGTGTCAAGACATGCGAGCTCAACTCTGTTTGTGCGGGAGCTCCGTCTAATGTCAAAATGTCCACTCGAAGTAGCTCAATCTGTTAGGATGCTACTACGAGATCTCAAGCAAGCATAGTGAGAATTGGAATAGACATGAAGAAAAACAATGCTTATTGTCATAGTAACCAAAGTAATCAGAAACATAACAGTCGTGATTAATAATTCGAATAATCCTCCTTTACCCTCCCTTATGGCAAACATGCCAATGACATGAGTTTTTACTGCAGGTATGGTTCTTTCAGAAGAAGGGAGGCCCTTTGCAAAGACAATGGTCCGCATAGCCTTCCCCTACTGCAACCATGGCCATGACATGATCTCAACCATAAGCACGGATTGCTTGAAAAAAGCAGGGGCTTGGGTGGGGGTGCAAAGCCCCCCATTTGCAAACAAAATGATCCCAGCCTTTCCCCACTGCAAACATGGTGTGACATTACTTTTTATTGTAGACGAGGATGGCTTAAAAAAAGCGATGGGCAGCCCCTCCATGTGGAAACAAAATGATCCGCACAACCTCCCCTTTGCCTAAACATGGTGATGACACGATGCATTTTGTATTGCAAGCATAGATCACCTTGAAAAAGCAGGGAGTTGAGGGGTTGCAGACCGATGGTGATGACCGTTTTTTTTTTTTTTTGCGCAATCATGGATGGCTTACAAAAAACAGGGGGTTGTGGGAGGA